CTCGTCTCTCTCTCTCTCTCTCTCTCTCTCTCTCTCTCTCTCTCTCTCTCTCTCTCCCTCTCTGTCTCTCTCGTCACTCGTCTATACTGGCGTGCTCCGGTTACTACGCGAGAACATTCCAAGATCTTGCTGCTTGCTGCGGCTACACATCCGATGCAAATAGTCGACATCTCTTCAAAAGCCATGCTATGCATACCAACATCACTGATATGCTGAAAGAAATGGCATTAATTGCCCTTCTTTGTCATGCTCGCTCGCTACCACAGCACTCCTAAGTATGTACCGACGAGCCTATATACTTTTCCGGGAACAGCCATGGTGCTTCGCGTGGAAGTGCGGACTGCTCATGGCCTCGTCGAGCATCTGGAACGGCCGTTGATCTAAAGTCCTCAGTCTTGTACTACATGGTCCAGTCTAACGCAATCGCGCCATCATCATAACCGAGACCGGAGATTTTCCTCGGACGGAGGATAGGGTACTCGTTGTCGTCTGGTGTGAAAGTGACGTGTGAGAGTGGTTCAGAACTGACAAATATGCCCATCCTGCAGACCCACTCGACTCCGACCAGACCGAGGCGGGCGTGTGTCGACAACCAGCTGGAAAATGAGAAGTAGTACCTCCTACTTGTTGGCTCAAGGCTGCGGGGGGACTGGCGCTGCAATAGCCGCCCAGCATTCACTACTGCATAACATAGCGCTAGGGACCAGGCCCGACGGGCTAGCGTGCTTCACAACCACAATCTATAACATCACAGGTATGCTGTAGGACTGTAGGACTAAGAGATGATCGATGTCGTGCCTCGACATTGCGCAAAAGGCACCGTCTAGCCTCCTGCACGTCACCTCATCTGTGGCCTAGGAATGCCGCCTACTGTATCGATGGGCCGCTGCAAGAGGAAGCATGACGAGACCCTCTATGTCCACTACGCTCCGTGAAGAGAGCGAAGGATTGATCGATTGCATGTCCACCACGCCACGACGACTTTCATGGTGATACCAGCTCGACATGGTGGGCCTTGACCTGGACAGTGGACGGTGCTCCCCATATTGAAACTCAGCAAAACCCGGCGTATGGTTCGTCATGCAGGTACACATCTGCCTTGGAGGTGGTAGTGAATGATTGCCCTCATCCCTGGACGATAGCCGAGCTCAGCAGAGCAGTCTGGATGCTCTATCCATCACTCACTCTCTTTCTGCCCTCTCGTTGCATCGGCAGTTTACGCCAGTACCGTGGACACCGCGCTCCACACGCGCATATGACAGCCTCCTTGGCTATGGCGAGCCGATCATGCAGCCATGATCCCCCTCCTGTACAGTAGTATCTGTTCAGCCATCAGAACCCATTGGCAGGCCCTGGGGGTGTATGGATCTCGTGCCTACGTTTCTGCCAGTGTTTCGGCCAGCGTGCTGCGGATCCATCACGCCAATGCAGAGCAATCTATGGGCGCCTCGGTGTAGGGGATATCGCCGCCGCCATGATTGTCCTCATCGACCACATCTGGCTCCTGGTCGTTCCTTGGAACGATCCAACTGTGCAGAGATGAACCAGCTCGGTCCTCTCGTGTCCTGACAGCGGTAGTTCCTCCTCTCGCAACACTCCATAAAGATACATCCCCGCCGTTGCATCGTCCACACCCCTGGACATCACGACGGTTTTCGACTCGAATTAGCCACTACCACGACGCCTGAGGCTGGTTGCGGTTTCCCTGTGTATGCTCTCAGACATTTGTTCATCATCCCATCATCCGCCGATACCACCCGCCGTTTTGCTCGACCCAAGCGAGCCCCTTCGACCACCACCATCATCATCATCATTATCCATGGCTACCGTGGTCATGGCCATGGGCGAGCAGTATACAGGAGTCAAGCGTTCCTTTCACCAGATGCTGGACCACGTCGACACCAATCTCTCCTTCGACGACATGTCCGTACCCTACCACGCCATGTCTCGAGCGGGATACTACACGACACCGCCGCCGACGGGGCACCACCAGCATACACTGTTCAGCAGCAACCCGTATGAAACCTCGTCTCCGAACGTCGGCTACGTCGAGGATGGATATCTGCCGCCGGACCACACCATGTACACCTTCACGGGCACTCCCAACCGCTCCATATCCGAAAGCTTTCCACACACTGCGAATGAGTCGTTTGGCAGCGCGAGCAGTGCAGCTTCGTCTTGCAATGAGCCATCAACACCTCCCCCTCGAGTGTTTGGGCCTCTGATGGCGAAGTATCCTGCTGTACCCATTACCCCCAGCCATGCACAGCCCCGACAAAAGGCCAAACGTACGGCAACAGTAAGTTCTCTGATGGACAAAGCGCCCCCTTTTTTTTTCTCTTTCGTCTTTTTTTCATTTGCTAACACGCCCTCGCAGGCATGTGAAGAATGTCGTAAGCGAAAACAAAAATGCGACGGCAAAGCTGCCTGCCAATCCTGCAAAGAGCAAAAGCTCCCTTGCAAGTACCGTGAAGTGCAACCCACCAAGTAAGTCGTGTCCCCCTCTCCTCCCCATCTTATTTTGTCCCAACAGTATGACCAACAACCAAACAGAAAAGACAACTCGATGGAACGACTCGCCAGTCTCGTCGAATCGTTTGGCAAGTCGATGGAAGAACTCAACCACCGTTTAGACGTGATGAATTCGACTTTACACCGTATGGAAAAGCGACTGACGCGCTGCTGGCATTGTGCCGGGACGGTGGACTTGGAAACGGGCGATTGCCTCGACTGCAACCAAGCTTCTTCTTGTCGAATGATGAATCCCATGTGAACAACGATATAATATGATATCCAGAAATGTGTGTGTAAGTCATTATACCTTTCCACTGTGCTTGTACCGTCTACACTCTCTGATTCTAACCCCGTTTTCTTGCAGGTTTTGCTCGATCGATTCTTATTTGTTTGACTTTTCTCTCTCTCTCTCTCTCTCTCTCAACAACCAACCACTCGCAATAACGAAGACACGCCATTCTCCCTTCCCTCCCAAAAAAAAAACAAAACTCATGGCAAGGGTCGAAAAGAAAGAAAATAAGACGTATCAAACTGGTCTCTTACATATATATACCTATATATGTAAATCCACGGAAAGAAATGGAATGAGCACAAAAAAAAAAGAAAGGACAAAAGACAAAAGAAGAAGAAAAAAAGACTCTTATTGTCTTCTGATGATCTATCTCACCTACGGGGGGAAGTAGGGGGTTTCTTTTTCTATTTTTTTCTTCCAAAAAAGCAATTGGCGTAATAACTGATTCTGATCCTTTTTTGTATTCGTATTGAATTGGAACGGAAACGGAACGCGGAATGGAAAACGGATGTGAATGAATGATACGAAAAAAAAACTGTTCCCAGTCAGTTTTTTTCGTTCGTCGTTGATGTTGGGGCGGAAAAATGTTTTTTTTTTTTTTCTTTTTAAAAGGATAGGATAAAGATAGTATCAGTCAGTCTTTTACATTATCAGAGTTAGTCCTACCTCCTAGCTATTTTCATCAATCGATCGATCGATCCTGTAGTCTATTCGGACTTGGTATTTTCGATTTTAATACCTACCTAACCTATACGGACCATCATCACCTACCTACCTAACCCTTACCTTTTAGGTACCTACCTACCTACCTACCTAGGCAAAACAAGGAATAGCC